ACATGTTCCTTTGCACTCCATTTGAAACCAAACAGGCACTGATATCACCTTTAAAATTAGAAAGTTAGAAACAACAACAATTGCCTGAAGTATGCCTAGTGGAGGTAATATTCACTCAAGCTTTGTCAATTTACAATATTATCCAACAAGCATCTTAGCGATGAAAAATCTTGGAGATGTTTTGCTAGCAAGACTGGAAGGCCTTGTCCATTTAGAAACAATAACACAGGATAAAAACACCATCCCCAACAAAGATGCATATGTAAGTAGTATGGAAGAACTATTTCCTAAAAACCTGAAATGAAAGCAAAACCCAATTTGCTAAAAAAGGAAGCCTGGTCTGTTGTTGCATCGGTAAAGGGAGTTGAAGGACATGGTACCAAAGTTGTCAATACTGTACCAGCATGCATACCAGTTTTGCAACTGGAACAGTATGTACCGGATACCGGAATTTTTCGTGTACCGTTTCAGATTTATTGCTATAAATATATATTTTTATAAATTAAATATCAAAATTTAAAATAAGATAAGAGATAGTAATGTTTAAAACTATCATATTCCTATAAATTGAAAACAAGTTTAAAATAACCATTTTTAGTCCCTCAACTTCTAATATATGCATATTTTTCGTCCATCTACTTTAAGTTAAGGAACTTAAAATGTGTATATTTAGACAAATTTAATGGAGTAATTGATAGAAGGACTAAAAAAAATACATTTTTCATAGTTGATGGACTAAAAAAGTATATAAAAAAGTTAAATGATGAAAATTATGTAAAACATTAAAGTCGAGGACCAAAAATGGAATTTACCCTTTTTTTAATTTGAATTGAGTATTTTCATGTACTGGCCGGTACACTGAAATTTGACCAAAATGGACGAAATTTGACCGAAACGAAATTGGACCATGAACCTCGGTTTAATACAAAAACCAGTATGTACCGGCCGGTATGGTATCAATAACTATGCATGGTACATCTATTGATAAGGGTAAAGGCAGTTAAATAATACTCAGAGATGTGGTTGACAGTGCCCATGATACTTTTGCAAATAGTTGGACAGGGTACAAACCAACTTGATTGTTTTTCTCATTAGAATGACTAAGTGACTCCAGTGGAAATATAAAAATACATTAGAAATGCAAGTCTCATCCTGGAATTATGAGGAATAAATATCCCCATCTTCTGTGGAAAGCAAAGAAGTATTCATCTGGACCTTATTTTCTATTTTTAATCATATACCTTAAGCTATATGAATAAAAAGAACAATATGCAGTAAAAGATACAAGCTGCGAAAAACAAACAAAATTAAGCAAGTCATTTATGTGTGGTTGCATCAGATGACATTGAACTTTGTATAAAAGACTAAACAAGCAAGGATGTTACACTAATACATTTGACAGTGGCAACAAATAATTTCCTAAGCATATCAGCACCAACCTAAGCATCAAACTAATATCAATGCATCAAATACCTTGTTAGCAAGCATGTAAAGGCCAACATCTGCATTGTACAGAGTAGAGAGCCGTTGCATCTCAGTAGGCCTTGAATTCAACACCTCTGATGGTAGATTAGGCTCAAAAACATGTGCATTGGGAAAATCAGAGTAATATGAATTTAGAAATCCTTGATCTCCTCCAGTGTAAGAATACAAAGTGGTAACTTTACTCATCATATCATCGAAAAGAGCTTGAGATGGTTCCACCACCATGACTCCTGAGTTCAGCCTCTCAGAATGCTTCAAGTTGGCACAAAATTTCCCACATTTAAAAAGATCCTCAATGCTTTTGACGACTATAGTATCCGCATCAAGATAGACAACTGCACGAATTTTGCCCATGTGAAACAACACATCCACCAAATTCAATGAATAAAAATCAACAATGAGGTGATTACCTTTGTTATATTTAGTCATATTAAAAATTTTTAGCTTGGTGTAGACACCCCAAAACCTCTTTGGACGAACTTGATTTGGATTTGCCAACAAACTTATCTTCTCCACTATCCACCCATCTGCCTGAGCACTCAAAGAAAAAATTATATATATTAATTCAGTAAGCCTTAGATAATTCAATTGCCTCTGATTTTTTGTTAGAGAAAAGAATGAAAATTTTGCATTTGCTTCCAGAAATAAAAAGGAAACAAATTGAATTGATGGAAAACAGATGCTCTCAACTATCAACTAACAAAACCAATGACTTTCCTCTTTAAAAAAAAATTACAGCTTTCCTAAATTTAACTTTGTTTCGCCATCCTCCTAAATTTTCACAACAAGCTAACAGATAGATAATTGTAAACTTCGTAAATTCATATACATCGAGTTTAGGGACTAAAAATGTACATTGATGAAAAGACTTACCTTAAAAACGAATCTTAATTCAAAGTTCGGTTTTCCTTACAAATATCTATTTCCAGTTAACATTTTCACTTCCCTAAGTAAAAATTTATCGAAAATTAGGTTATCATTGTTTTAAGAATGGCAAGCAGTAAACAAATCAAGACTTACCTCTAGAAGCTTCTTGGAATAATCGGAGACGCCATCAGAGACCAGAACGACCATCTCTTTGGTGGATCCAGTGTCCCGTATCGATTTCCCAAGAACCCTAACCCCCAACAGGAACTCATCTCCGTACAACAGTGTCACGTAAGCCTCCTTTGAAGATTGAGACCCAATCGTGGCCTTAGACTGGATCAGAAGCACCACCACCACCAAAAGCGGAATCCAGAGTTTCCGCAGGTTCATTATGGTTAGGGGAGGGACTCTGTTGTCAGATTTTCTCGAGAAAATTAACGCGATTTTTTCAACAACATTAGATTGAAATTATTTTCTTTTTCATGCAACTCTGGAGAAATCAAGACAAATTCGTGTCAATTATAAACGAAAGTAGCAGAGCCACCCATCAAATAAAGCTTCAAATAATTAACCCAATTCAACCAAAAAAAAATAAAAAAGAAGAAGAAGAAGATAGATCCGAGTTCAGCAATATACCAGTGACGACGACGATGAAACCGAAATTGATTCAGAACAATCTATTGGAAACAGTTTTGGAGGGCAGATGAACCTTAGCTATTGGCGTAGAAATTGCGGAAGGAACTTTGAAGTGCGGTCGATGGAGGAATATTCAACAGAGACTAGCAGAAGGCGAGAGAGCAGGGTGATGGCGATGATGGAAAGAGAAAAGTCTTTGCCGAGCAGCCGAGCTAGGCTGGGTTGGGTTAGAGTCAAGGCTAAACCAGTCGTGGGTCAAGACGAACCGGGGCAGAACGGGTCTGGGTCATGAACCTCTAACTAGACTGGGTGGGTCGGGACTAAACCAGCCACAGGTAAAGATAGGTCGGCTCATAACGGGGTCATGGGTCATGAATCTTAAACCTTATTTAGAGGTTTTATTCACATTTACCAACTAGATGTTAATTCAAATAGAAAGGATTTTATTTTTTTAAAATTTAATTTTTTTAAATAAGAAAATGGGTGTTTTAAATTACAATGTAATTTGATTTTAAATTAATGACTTTTAGATATTAAAAACATTTATAACTATCCAATGTTAAATGTATTACGATTCAAAATTAATTAAAGTGAATTAACAAAGATTAAGTAAGAAAAGATCAATTAACAAATTTTTAATCCACCAACAGAGTTCAGAATGTTTAAAATTAACTAAAGTCATATATAGGATTCTAGTAACAACTTTGATCTTCCAAGACCACTAAATGCCATCTGCCAAGAGTCCCCAAAGCCAGGATTTAATTTATCTCTCACCCAATTACATGTCTACGAGCAGCCAAACAGATTTTAATGGAAGTCAGAGATACATAGAACATCAACACAAAAAGAAGACAAAATCTGATGAATTTTTCCTTTTTCTTTTTTTTTTTTTTCATCGAAAAAATTAACTATTTAATAATACATAAATTTAAAATTTTAATTTAAAATTAAAGTTTTTATGTTAACGAATATTAACATAACCAAACTCTTATTAGTATTTATAAAAAACCAAAAAAGAAGACTCTTTGCATGAAAACATAAACTACTTATCATGAATCATTTTCTAGAATCAAATATTGATAATTTTTAGTAAACCTCATGATGTGTGATAACTGAACTAACCATAAAATAACTATAAAATCATATTACAAGCTATGTGAACCACCGCAAGTTAGGATTAACACTAAAATTACTACAATGATATAATATACTAACTTGACCACCTAAACTAAACCACCTCCTCCTTGTTATAATGTCAAACTAAATAAAGAACCAGACATCTCATTGGCACCCTGATAGGAACTTTATTAGCAAATATGATTAATATTAGAAAACAAAACCTTGTTGGAAGCCTTTGCTTGGCCATTCGCCTTGGCATAACAAGGAGTAGAAGTAAGTCAACAAAATCCCATCTCCTTGGCAAAGGCTTCGACTTGTTAACAAACAAAAACTGTAAGCTAGTTTGATGTTATTGTTTCTAACATACCAAA